CTGGCATCCAATTTTGCCAGTGGAGTTGGATGTAAGTTTTATGGAAAACCAGTTCCTCTTCACTGTGAAGCTATGCTCACCCTTGTAGCATCGAGTAGAGGCTCCCAAGTTCTTCCAGGTAGGACCTTTCCATTAGGATCTCTCCTGAGAAGGCCAGGGAGTTCAGGGAATAATCCAGGAGCTGCAAAGATAGTGGCCACTGCCTTTTAATAATCTAATTATGGCATCTATGCCTGGAGCCTAGCATTCTTCTCCATTGTGGCCTGTATCCACTTGAACTATTAGACACAGTCCTTCCTCATTTAAGTTTTTTGGTCCAGTATGTTGTCATAGCAATGAAAAAATTAACGAAGACAAACATAAATACTTGAATACCAGCAAGTGTCCATTATGTAAATTAGCTTAGTGGTAGCCAGCAAGAGTAAAGTCATTTTCCCGTGGTACCACAGGTATTAACTTGAAGCAAAACTGCAAAAATTCACCCAGCTAATTTTTAGGCTTTATATTTTTTGTGAAAAATTTACAAGTTATATGTAGTGTGTGTGTGTGTGTTTGCATTGACTACATTTGTGTCATTGTGTGTTTGCCACATAATTAATGTGTGTGTCAGAGGAAAACTTGCAATAATTTTTTCTCTTCTTCTACCACATAGGTCCCAGGGACAGAACCCATGTCATCACACTTGGCAGCAAATGCCATCACTCATTGAGCCATCACACTGACCCAGTAGTAGTAAGAATATATGAAGCTGATTGTGTGTGTAGGATGCATGTCATAACACTCTTATATACTTCTGCTTCAAAAAGTGTGTCTGAATATCAGGGAGAGTTCTATAAATATAAGTATATAACCTTAAATATAAAAAGCTCCTCATCTCTCACTCATTAGAACATGGCTGTTAGTGAATTATTTGAAGCTCTCCTTGCACTTGATCATGATGAGTGGTAGCTTCATAATCTTGGAATGGGGCATTAGTCATAGGTGTGGAAGTCACCTAAGGTGACAAGCTTGTATTCTATCTTAAAACAATGTTGGAAGGCACTAAAGTGTTTAAAGCATGGCCAGATGGCATAGTTCAATGTACACATGCTACTCAGAAATTTAGGACTTTGTAAGTATCAGATATAAATTATTGACTAAGCTCATTACTGTGTTTTTTAAAAAGCTTTTATTGGTTCCTTGTGAATTTCACAGCATGCACCTCAGTCTCACTGATCTCTGCCTCCCCTTGTACCAACCTTCCACTCTTATAACCTCCCTTTAAACAGGGAGAAAAAAGTCTCACTGTGGAAGCTGTAGCGTATCATAGTGTGTCCCACAGCATACCCTTTACCCTCACACTTCTTGGTTTGCAAATGTTCATTGCAATGACTCCTTGGTTAAAGACAAGGCCTCTGGATTCTGCTATACTGTCAATACTGGATACTCACTGGTACTCCTCTCAGATATTTTATTATTGCCCTGTATCATGGAGAGCTTGTAGCTTTGGATCTATAGGACCAACCCTTCATGCACTTCAGCAGTTCATCAACTGGCTAAATGTTGAGGTCGACCAACTCAAAGCTATAGATTTAGGCCTAAGGATATCACAGCTATCCAGCCTACCAGCATGCCACCACCCAGATCACTGGGCAAGCTCTCCTGCCCTGCCCCAGTTGGCCCATTCAGTACCACAGCCAGCAAGGGATAGAGCTAGCTCTTCCACTCCCAGGCTCTCTCATCTCTGCCACCTGCCAATGCATGTATGGTACAACAGCCACACCTACAACATCTTTAGGGACATCATCTATACATCTCTTAAGCCATCTCCTTTACATTCTTCCAAATCAGTTAGTGTTGGTTTAATGAGATTAATTATTATTAAGTCTACAACTCTGCTAAAACTCCAAACTCTGAACTGTGACACCTGTGACCTGTGTCTGCTCAGGTGTGACACACAAAGACCTTTGTGCCTGATATGGTCTATAAACATAGGGACACAGATTGATGGTAAAAACTGTGTTGACATACATCTGTAAATTAGTAAGCAACTGTCAGGTGAAGATGGATTGAACCTAGATCTAATATTATATTAGTTACTTTCCTAAGTTTGAGGTATATAAATGTAAGAGAGTGTATCTTAGTCCTGGAGGATGTCTTAGTTGGGTAACTGCTTGCTTTGAAAGCATGAGAACCTGAATATGATTCCCAGAACATATTAAAGCCAGGTAGATTATGCATACTTATAATCCACATGCCAAGGAGGTAGAGACAGAGAAACCCTTAAAGCTCATTGGCCAACAAGCCTATTCAAATAGGCAAGGAGAAAACAAGGCTGTGATTAGTAATATTGACAACTTTTGACATTAACTATTGACCTCCTCATACACAAACACACAAATACATGTACACATGCATCTCCCAAGATGGTGTTTTCATATTTTGTTGCTAAAAAGTTATAACATCATATGTACATTTTACCTTCACTAGACAAAAAATTTAGCCCTGGTATCATTTGATAGATGCCATGACTCACTGTCACATGACACACATCTGTGGTTCTTATAGGTTCTTCAGCACAGAGAAGATATACCAGTGTGTTGGTGATTCTTAGTATACTATGCAGACATATGGGGACATACATGCATAATGAAAATCTTTAAAAAAAGGTTTAGTACTACTTGTGAGATGGGCTAAAAAGTAAAAAAAGAATTGTAATAAAGTAAGGGCATGGTGGGGAGAGAGAGCTTGCTGTCTCCCTAGAACCCCCCACCCTCGGCTCCCCATGAGCCGATCATTGGCCCCGTGGAGCCCAGCAATTATGCCACCTTGGACGGGGCCAAGGATATCGAAGGCTTGCTGGGAGCCAGAGGGGGTCGTAATCTAGTCGTCCACTCCTCTCCACTGGCTAGTCATCCTGCGGCTCCAACGCTGATGCCAACTGTCAGCTATGCCCCTCTGGATCTGCCAGCCTCTGCAAAGCCACCGAAGCAGTGCCAACCTTGTCCTGGGATGCCCCAGGGGTCATCTCCAGCTCCTGTGCCTTATGCCTACTTTGGAGGCGGGTACTACTCTTGCCGAGTATCCAGGAGCTCATTGAAACCCTGTGCCCAGGTGGCCACCCTGGCTACCTACCCTTGGGAAACTCCTGCACCTGGGGAGGAGTATCCCAGACGTCCCACCGAGTTTGCCTTCTATCCGGGCTACCAGGGACCATACCAGCCTATGGCCAGTTACCTGGATGTGTCTGTGGTGCAGACCCTGGGAGCCCCCGGGGAGCCTCGCCACGACTCTCTGTTTCCCATGGACAGTTACCAGCCTTGGGCCCTGGCCGGTGGCTGGAACAGCCAGATGTGTTGCCAAGGTGAACAGAACCCACCAGGTTCATTCTGGAAAGCAGCATTTGCAGAGCCCAGTGTACAGCACCCACCTCCCGACGGCTGTGCCTTCCGCAGCAGCCGCAAAAAACGCATTCCCTGTAGCAAGAGGCAGTTGTGGGAGCTGGAGTGGGAGTATGCGGCCAACAAGTTTATCACTAAGGACAAGAGGCGCAAGATCTCGCCAGCCACCAGCCTCTCTGAACGCCAGATTACCATCTGGTTTCAGAACCGCTGGGTCAAAGAGAAGAAGGTTCTTGCCAAGGTCAAGACCAGCACTACCCCGTGAGCACCAGAGGGGATGGCGGGGAAAGAGGGCTTGTCCTGGAGAATTGGGAGCCTGCCAGGACCAGGACTGGCAGAGGACTCGGCTGAGGGACCCCAAGAGATGACACCTTTAGCAGGCTACTGAGTTCTGAACTGTTTCTCCGGGGCTATCCTGCATGTGCTGGGCCTGGGAGGCCTGAAATTACGGTCCCCTCCATCACGGTTCCGAAGAACGTGTATCAGTCATAATCATTCATCCCGACGGTGGTGATAATCTCATAACCAGTACTAGTTATCATGATAATTAGCCTCATATTTTCTATCTAGAGCTCTGTTGAGAGCTTAGAAATCGCTTTCATGAGTTGAGCTGATTGCGAATAAATTTGGGAGAAGAAAAAAAAAAGTTAGGGGATGTGATGGTTAGCTTTAACTATCAACTTGAACCTTGAATTACCTGAGCTGAGAGACTCACTGATGGGGTTTTCAATATTCAGTAGGCCTGGGGACATATTTGTAGGGGATTGTCTTAAGTTATTTAATGGGAGAAGACCAAGCCCACTATGGGTGGCACCATTCTCTAAACTGACATTCCTTGTTTTAGTTAGGTTTCCATTGTTGTAATACATATCCTGAGGAAAGAGTTTATTTCTGCTGACCATTGTAGTTCATCAAGAAGGGAAATCAGAGCAGGAAACTCAAGGCATGGACCTGAAGGCAGAAACTGAAGGGAGGCAACAAAAGAATACTGCTTACAGGCTTAATCTCATGGCTTGACACTCCTGCCTTCTGATGTCACATAGGTCAACTTTCTCAGGAGTAACACTGTTTCCAGTGAGCTGGAACCTGTCACATCGATCAGTAAATAAAATGCCCTATATGGTTCTTTACACTCCAGTCGGTTGGGGGCATTTTTTCCATTGAGGTTCCCTTTTCAAAAACAATACTAGCTTGATCTAGTTGAGATAAACTCAGCCAGACTAGTTTCTGACCTACTTGATTGGAGAAATCAAGCAGAGTAAAAAGAATTCAGGAGGCAATGTGCATTTGTTTCTTAGTGGCTGGGGATGTGATGTGATTAGCTACTTCACGTTCCTACAACTCTTATTTATCTACAATGATGAACTATAACTTAAAACTGTGAGCTAACATAAGCCTTTCTCCTTTAAGTTCATTTTTCTGTCAGGATATTTTTTTTTCACAGCAACAAAAATGAAACTAAAATCTGCCAAATATCACAACACTGAGCTATAAAATCTCTTGTGGCTCTATGGGAACGAAAGGAAGAAATATGAGACGTGGGCTCAAGTATGACCTACTGACTCTTATGGAGGAATATTAAGAATCAAGTAGAGTTTACCTTTTTTTTTCTCTTTTCAGCCATCTATGAGCAATCCTGTGAGGTGTATAGACACAGAGGACACACAGCTGGGTTCTTCTATGTTGACTCTGATGGCAGCGGGCCATTGAGACCCCTTCAGGTGTACTGCAATATTACTGGTAAGAGCCATGTTTTCTAAGCATGCTTTACCTGGGTGATATGAGATGAAAGGGAGGTTTTGGAAAGGCATACTGAGTGATCAAAAACTCACAAGACTAAGTTCAATGAAGAAAAATACTATCTTGAAAAATAATAGAAATTAGCTTAATTATTATCAAGACAAAAAATAGAGAGATCTTTGTGCTCTAACACTTTTCCATGAAGAAGGAATGAATTACCAAGTGTTCTCTATAAAACTTTCAAAAGGCAGCTTCTTTATTAAAACTCAGCAACATAAAGAAAGGGGGATGGGGAAAACAAATAACAACAAAAAAACAAGTCATGAAATCCAGTGGGAAGTCCTGATTCACAAAGGGGAACTCCAATGTGGTTCTATGGATGATTCTCGAGACTATATATCTCTCTTAGTCCTACTATCTTGTGTGTCACTGGTTTATCAGTGAAATGGGAAGAAGATGACTATACTCCAAGGAGCTGTGAGGATCACAGATAATCAGGAATGTTGGACCAGCTAGTGAGGATCTACAAAACACAGCTTTCACCTTAAAAGTACTAAGAGATTGTTTATTCTAGAGGATGATCATGGCCTGAGAACATAGATTTAGGTTACCATAACTTTCATGTTCCATCATGCTAATGGTTTCATAAAGATCTTATGGTAGTAGTTGTATTTCAACACACAATTCTATATACCAGCCAAATACCAGGAGAGAAAATTTCAGTAAAGTAGGAACGTCTCTGCTCTGAGCTTCACATGCTATTTGATGACTTTCTTAGTTTTTGGGTTCATAAAACTTAGGGGTCTCTTTGTGTATTTCAATATATCTTGCCAGCACATTACAAGAATGTTAGATTATACATAGAAATTTGTAATAATCTATGGTTCAATATGCCAAGATTGCCTAAGAAATCACAAAATTTTTAATCAGCCAATCAGCTTTGTATAATATTCAATGTATATATAGCTTCATTTTCTGGAAATTATAGTTTCTTTGCAAATCACCACTAACACCATCACCACCACCACCACCATCATCACCATCAAAATCACCAAAACCATCATATAGTGTTTTTTCCCCCTATGGCATATTCTGAAAGCATGTAACTTCCTTATAAATTGATTACAAAGGTTTAAAGATGGCATCTGAGAAACCCACAGGTTGAGCAGGTAAAGGCACTTAGTTGCAAACCTGATGATCTTAGATTAATCCCTGGACCCCACATCATGGAAGATTGCACATGTTCTACTCTGACTTCTAAGATTCACAGTAGTGCTCAAGTGGCTCCCCACAAGTAAAATAAATGCTTAAAATGTTATTTGATGGATAATTTATTCTATAATACAGTTCCACAGTGTCAAACCCTGGTAATTTTAAGTGTTTAGCTTTGCAAGCACTGCAAATATGATTTGAGTATCATTCATTGACATACATCTATATACCTCTCTCTCTCTTTCACACACACACACACACACACACACACACACACACACAGGCACGCATGCACGCGCACACACACATACACATACAGGCACACACACACACACAGAGGCATGCAGTTAATTTCAAGCCTGATCTTCAAAGATGCAAGATGTCCTGTGTAATGAGCAGCAAAGTCAAGCCTCTCATATGTCATTGTGCATTTATACCCTGGGCTCCTATTGTGAAGTAGCATGCCTATAGAGCTCTTTCTAGCCGGATAATGTTCAAGGCACAGAAACTGCACCATGGATCTTCATGTGGCAGTGAACTCAGGAACAGGACCATAGGATGCAATGCAGCCACTGCAAAAAGTTATGACAAGGCACATTCCTCATTTTTCCAACTGAATGCAAATATCCAGACACTGGCTGCAGAAAATGCTAGTTATTTTAGTTTCTATATTACTTCATATAGTGAAGGCTGGCTATATGTTAGTTACTTAGTAGTTGCCTTTGAACAGAAATAAGAAATTCTTTTCTTAGTTGTTGTTACACAGTCTTGTTTGACAACCTAGTTTAGGACCGGGCTTCTCAATAACTCTCACTCATGTTCTTAATTTAAAAATCAAGAATTCTAGGCAGGCTTGGGGAATTCTAATTCCCTAATGCATTTGTCTTAATCTTTATAAAATATTTACATGTAAATTGTCCCTGGTCCATGTTTTTCAAAACATAGGTGTATTGGGCTGAAAGAAAAGGCAATGGAGACAGACAGATACTGCTGAATATCAGCTATGATTTGTATCCAGGAGTTGTGGGATGACTGCCAACTACTGAATTCAGACATTTCAAGGAATTTTAATTGGAACATACAAATATTGGTTAATTCTAAGCAAATAACTTTTTAAAATTCTCTCTCTTATATGAAAGAAAGAGAATATAAGAAATCTGTAGTTTAAGATGTGTCTATCTTCTTACAGATGATCCCTTTGCTATGTGATTGAACCAGATCACTAGATATTATGGTTCACCCAGATCAGAGATTCTATTCTACTGACCAGAAGCTTTTTCATGACTGATTTTTACTACTACACTAACACTGAGTTGATATTTTAGATGGTCATAGATAGGAATTTTCACAATGCTGGACAAGGATGCGCCCTTATTTTGGAAATCTTAAATCTTTCTAATTGTGGCAATTGAATGACTTTGTGATGCTTTGAAATATATAACAAAGTCGTTCAGAAAGTGTAACTTGGAAATGTGACCTGACCAACAAGGTTTACATAATCAGGTGAATGTCCAGGACTCATATCCATGCAGTCTAATTCAATTAGCACATTGCAGAGCAACTTTAAAACTTCAAAACTTGCTTCCAATGATGGAATTTCTCCATCAAATTCATACCTCCTAAACCTAGTCAAATACTGCCACAGTATCACCAACTGGAACCAAAGTATTCATTTCCAGAGCCTCTGGTAGACATTTTTATTCAAATCACCACATCACAAAAGTAAGAGTGACCCTGAGTTTGGATTCAGAATATATAAGAACATGGTGGCATACACCTGTAATCCCAGTGCTGAGCACGGATTACATTGCTGATGCAATGACAAGTCATTGAACATTAAGAGAAAGGGGCTTCGTGAAAAGTCTATAGGTCACATAGGTACTATACTTGAGAGATCTTAAGGGAGTTCTCATGGAACCCTGAGTAATTCTCACAAGATTGTTTTTATGAATGATCAAGAATAACCTCTTAGTCTTAGATCTCTGTATCTGCAGATAATCTTTCAATTTTACATAAGCTCCCTCTTTCAGCATCCTTCATCTTTGCCAGAGTGTGCTGCTTGATATTCACCCTCCTAACCTATGGTCTTATATAAAGTTCTTCACAGACAACCCACCCTTGGGCATATTGTTTAAATGATGGAGAACAGACTAATACAAAGTGTCACAAATGTTTGGATTTACTTTTACACCTACTTTAATGATTCCAGTGTACTGAACATAGTGAAATCACTATCAAGTTCAACCATCATTTTGCCTTTTCTCCTTTATTCTGATCTACTTTAATTGAGGTATCTCAGACTAAAACTCTTCCAATTTAAATCCATAATAGTTTGGACCTGTGGAAACATCCTTGGTATTCAGTCTTAACTGGCTATGGGTCATTCTTAGAGTTTGAAACTTCTGCTCACAGTCCAGGAGTAAAACATGCTTCTCTTTTCCTCATTTTCTCCCTGCACTTTATCAACTACCTAGCTTTTCCCAAAGCCTTTTCATCTTCAAATATGGGAGAGAAATATCTTTGGGAGTTTCACTGGAGTTTAAATTAAATGCATGAGCATTATAGCAATACAAACTTGGACAAGTCGTTTAGCCAATTCCAGTTGGTTTTCTTGTTCAAAGTAAAGGTTATGAAAGTGATTGGCTTTCAAGATTAATGTGAACATATTAGTATGTGTCCTGGCATAGCTAATTCCCTCATTGCTGTGACAAAATACACACAAAGTAACTTAAGAAAGGCAGAGTTTATTTTGGCTCATGGTTTAAAGATATAGGCCATCATGGTGGGAAGAGCATGGCAGCAAGAACAGGAGGTACCTGGTTACATTGCATTCATAGTCAGGTAGCAGAGAGAGATTGATGCTGATATTCTTCTTGCTTTATCCTTTCTATTAACTGTTGAACCCCAGCATATACAATAGTGCCATCTACATTTAAAGTGTTTTTTTCCACCTATGTTAATCTCAACCTAAGAAGTCCCTCAAAAATATGCCCAGTGTTCTTAGGTGATTCCAGTGCCTGGCAAGTTTATAGTTTATATTAACCTTGATACGATTAAAACACCAAATTCTTCTGAACAAGACAGTCTTGAAACAGTGATCTGAAGTTATGTAGTGAATGTAGATTTAGCCTTCACATACTCTCACAGTTGTTCACATGATTCAAAGCTATATATCCACTCTCAACAAAAGAGATAAAACAATAAAATCACATGTTCTAAATGGCCATGCTATTTCCAAGATGCTTGGAGTCTGGAGTGAAGCTTTCTGGGAAAAACTTAGCATGATGAAGTACAACTAGAGTAGAATATCTGACTATATTTCTTTGACACTCAGCTTGCAGTCACTTTGTGTACTTTTAAAACATTTTCATTAGAACTTAGTTTGTAGTCAGAATATTTTAATGTTAAGAGACATTGGTCTACTTATTAAAATATATTTATCTACCAGCTCTACATTTTTTCCTGTGGTTCAATCAATTGTATATTTATGTGCAAAGATGTTTGTGTAGAGTCAATTATAAAACACGCTCCCTTCCAAATCAATAGAGCCAATGTCATTTTCACATGTGTAGGGCAATAGACAAGAATTACGAAGAATTAACAGAAAAAAAATATTTAGGTGAATTTCTAAATCTAAACCTGTTTTCCATCGTCAAATAGTTCCTAATTTGTTTCCAAGATATATTTATAGTTTCCAAATCTTACATCCTGGGTGCTATGAAGCTCCAATTCTCTCTGCTTGGCAGCAGCTGTCGCTTTCATTAAAACATATCAAAGCATGCATAATG